AGTAAAGTGATGTAAAGGTGGCAAAAAAACAGACCTCAGATCCAACAATTAATAAGGAAAAAGAGATTATGGAAACAGGGGATTTGATGTCCCAATGCAAGAGAATGACGATCTGGGAATACTTGGCACCTGAACTGCCTGAATTGGGAAAGACTGTTAAACAAGCTTGGAAAGAACCTGGATTGTGATGCTATGGGATGTAAGGGTAAATGGAATCAGTGTGAGAGCTTTGGAAACAGAACCAGAGATAAAGAGCTACATGTTCCTTTCTGAAGCAAAGGCTGCATAGTCTTTCTAGCCGGAAAATTACTCATTTCTCCAAAAAGAGTGAGCCTATGGAGAGTAAGCCAGCCAGGGGCAGGACTAGGAATACCCAGGGAAGAGGGATGCCATCATATGGAGAGTGAGCAGAGTTAGCAGCGGCCATATTGGAGCTCAGGGAGCTAAGCATTGGGACAGTTGGAAAAAGGACCAGGAGGTGAGCCAGTCTGCCCCGGGAGAGCTCTGTGGGGTGAGTTGGCATGTGCTGAAGAAGGTGAGGCTGATGGATACTATGGGCTGGGCTTGAATGGCAGATGGGTTATGGGAAACCATTTTGTGTAAGTCACCCCCCCCCCAGTGTCATATAAACTATCCAAAACCCAAGATAGCAATGTGTTATGCTGGTTTTGTAGATCTGAATCAGGACAACCAAAACCCATTGATGGAGAGCCAGTCTCCAAGAGGGCAGGAAGGGAAAAAGTTAGTGAAACAGCTTGAGAAAATATGACAGAAAAGTTCTTCATAGTCTAGTGTTTATGAGCCATTAGGGACATTTGGCTATTTTTGACTGAGGGGCTCATAATTTCAGGGGTTGAAGGATATGAAGGAACACAGGTTGGAAAGGAATTACTGAGAGAATTAGGTATGTTAGAGATGGTGTTTGATGTACAGTTCATGGAATTGTTTTCATCAGACTTAATAAATTGTTCAGCAAAGACAGTAAGACCGGTATGGATTTCTAGAAGTGTGGCAGGAAGACTTTAAAACCTGAATAACAGGGGCTAGAGAGATGGCTCTGTGGTTAAGAGCACTGGCCACTCTTGCAGAAGAGCTGGGTTTAAATTCTAGCACCCACATGGCAGCTAACAACCATCTGTACCTCCAGTTCCATGGGATCCATTGCCCTATGTGACCTATGTGAACACTGCATGATATGGGTGAATTTACACAGATGCAATCATAACACTTTCTTACATAAACTAAAAATAAAAAAATAATTTAAAAAAACTGAGGAACAGTTCACAGAAGGCATCCATGATAAAACAGACTTTTCCCAGGAGTTAGCAGTTACCCTGCAAAAGTAATCTGTATAAAGTGTGCCCCAGCCAAAATGTCCGCTCTAGTTTTCTTATCCTGACTTCCCTTCCCTTAGCAGGCAGGTGTAGTTTATTGAGAGGTAACAGCTACATCTGCACCCACGGTGCCAACCTGGTTCCAAATAGACTCAGACAACTAGAGTGAACAGCAGGTACAGTAGGAGAGGGCACAGGGTCATTCCTCCTTGACCAAAATGATGCTGAGTGGCTTCATCCTGTTCCATCTGGCCCTTTGGGTGGGAGAGAGATACACAGAAGACCCAAGGGAAGCATTCTAGGATAAAGAAGCAGGGCAAGTAAGGGAGAATAGTGTATATTGAGGAGGGCTTACTAAGTCAATGCTTCCCCTTCATTCCATTTTACCCAACAGTGATCCTTGGAGGAAAATATTGATATGTGTTGAAATCTTTTCATGGTGTATTGGACCTTGATAACTTTTTCTTTAATATTGACACGAGCTTGGAAGGGAGGACAGTAGAGTTTTAGAATCCCTCTCCCCAGTCTGTTTTCACAGATTCACTATTTGTCATGGAATAGTGGCTTAGTACATTGTTTTGTTATCCTGTACATCCTCTGTAAATAAGTTTCATTACACAGATGATATAATGCTCATCTGAGTGTTTTACAGATTTGGAAATCTATTTGAGAGGCATATAAGTCCACTTAAAATAGCAAGAATGGGGAAATCTGCTCACAACCAGTGCAAGGGCCAGGCATAATTGTGAAATTTTGAAAGATTAATTTTGGGGTGTGATGATTAATTTTAATGTCAACTTCACACAACATAGAATCACCTGAGAATAAAGTCTGGGTGAGGGACTGTTTAGATTAAATTGAACTGTGGCCATATCTGTGGGGGATTATCTTAATTATGTTAACTTAGATGGGAAGACTCACCCTAAATGTGGCTGGCACTATTTCATGGGCTGGGCTCTGGACTGAATGTCAGGGAAGGAAGGAACTGAGCACTACCACGTATGCATTAATTCATACCTCAGTGCTTTTTGTGTGTGGATGTTTATGACTAGCTGTTTTGAATTCCTGCTGCCTTGGCTTTCCCACAGAGAGGGACTGTTGACTGGAATAGGTACCTGAATAAACTTAAGTTGATTCTTTTCAGGGCATTTTCTCACACAAACAAGAAATGAAACTAAGACAGTTGACTAAGTTACAGATGAGGCACACCAAGGTTATTCAGAAAATTCTATGACAGCATGCACCTGTTATTGTTAAATGAATATATAAAGTGTGAACAACAGTACCCTGTCTGGGTGGAGAAAGGAACTCTGGGAAGCCATACACTGGTTAAATAATAATCTCAGCATTAGGAGTAGTTTGTTTCCCAATGAGCTGTTGGACCAAAAAGCCCTAGAGCCATGCCCCCCACAATAATAGAAGTTTTTGCCACTGTTGTGGATTTCATGCCAAAACTAGATGGTAAGACCCTATTGCTGAAGATGGAACACAATTTGATTGCAGAAAATGCAGAAATTAAGCTGGTTTGGGCTGGACATGTTCCTGTTCAGCCATTTGTATGCTTATCTGTCCAAATTGCCCATAGCCTTCTGTGTTCTTGGGATATTCTAAAGTATATATTATGTAGAAGGTTAACAGAAGGGGACTCCATCTATGCCTCTATGGGGAAGTCACCACCCACTCTGGGGTGAGACTTTCTGATGATTTGACTGTTTGGGGATTACTCCACTCATGTAAGCAGCACTTTACCCATCCTTTGTATGTAAACTCAGTGGTTTTCCCGGTTGGACTTTGGTGGAATTGTACTTGGTTTGTCGTTGGTTCCCTGTAAGAGGGGGTAGAGATTTATTTGTGGCTCCCAAGGGAAAGAGTGTTTTTAGCACCGAACTATGAAATTTAAAACAAACAAACAAAAACCTCCTTACCAGCATAAAAATCACACAGAAACTAATGTAAAGGAGCAAGGTGCTTAGCACTACATCCACACATATTCTGGCAACACATATCTAACATATATGTCAAGATCATAAATATAGAGGTTTTTCAACAAATGGTACTGGATAGGTTCATATCCACGTAGAAATGAAATAAATTATTTGCTTGACTTACACCACACATAAAAGAATTCTAAATAGATGAGGTAAACCTAATACCTAATATTTTTAAAGTCTTGAAGAAAGCATGGAGGACACCATAATGACATTTGTTAGGTGTGGATCAGGAACACAGGCAACAGAAAGAATAATGGCCAAATAAGATTACACCAAATTTAAAAAGGAAGAATTCACAGTATTAGAAGAACATATTTATAGATCATAAAACCCAGCAAGGAGATACACAGTGAACTGTTGATGGTCCTATTAAATATTTTCTTAATTTTTCTAAGTCACTTATGATGCTCCTCTGGGAAACTTACTTTGCAGTTTGACTTAAAGGTTACAGTAGTGTCTTTTATTGCCACTAATTAGTACTTTTGTAACAGTGTTCCCCAGAGAAGAGCTTAATTTCAACAGACTTTCTTGCTGATAATAAGAGGGGAAAAATAGAATTGCAGTGTTCCTCAGTAAACATCTGGCTGTGTGGCATCTCCTCAGATGGACTGTGTGTGTTATAGTAGTGATTCCATATTCTACTCACAACATTTTGTTTTTATTTAATCTTAAAGAATGTGCATCTAATTGGAGGTTTGGAATGATAGCAATCTCAACTCTAAGAACAAAATTTCACAAAGTTCAGCCTAATTGGAATGATAGATGTTAAAATTATTGATTTTAGAATCTTAAACTTCCTCAGTGAATATAAATTTGAAGAAATGTGGAAATTCTGTACAGAAGTATTCTATTAATAATTTGCCTTTCCTGACAAAAATCATTAGTAGTAAGTAAATCTCTCTACTGTATAATGAAACATGATTTATGTAATCAAGTGAAATAATCTGTAATGTTCTTAGGTACATCTCTTCCATGCACAGAGGGGAGTGGATGAAAATTCCCAAAAGGTCCGTCTGTGCTAATTTTAACTTAATTTTATGATCAGAAACCAAGGCAAAGTCGTAAGTTCAATTCAGGGAATTGTATTTGAGTACTGAATTCCCATATTTCATAATATTTTTAAAAATTAGATATTTTGAGGCTGTGCATTGATATGTTATAAAATATATTTTATTCATATACTGTTCATTTATATTTATTTTCTTTAGCTGTTTGAAAAAGTGATATATAAAATACTGTAATAAGAAATTCTCCCCCAGAATTTCAGATACCTCAGTTTCAAACTCGCCTATTATAGTCACACCTTTCAGAAAAGTTTTATTTCTTTTATTTTTTGATAATTTCATATACTGTATTTACAGTGCTTCTACCCCTCCCTGTTCCACTCCAACTCTGTCCATGTACCCCCCAAGCTCCCATTTAAACTCATGACCTATTCTTTAATTGTTTTTCATATATAACAGTGTGTTGACATATATCTATATCTTTATTTGTCTATATATCCTACTGAGTTCATTTACTGTTGTTCATATGAATACATGTTTAGGGATGACCACTTGAAATTGGATAACATATCAGGAATAACATCAGGGGTGTGTCCTTGGCAAAACTGATTCTCCTTCTCTCTGTAGGCATTGATTACCTGTTGCTCTTCTTCTAGGGGTTGGACCCGGTGAATTTTTTCCCCATCTATGTTGGCATGTCAACTTGTGTTGTCATTATACAGGTCTTATTCAAGCAACCATGTTGTTTAGATTTCATTGGTGCAGCTTTCCTGTAATGTCTAGAGGACACAATCTCACAACTGACTGTTGGTCCTCTGCCTCTTACATTTTTCTGTTCCCTCTTCTGTGATGTTTGTTGAGCTTTAGGCATATGGGCTGCATTGCAGATGTCTGAATTGTGGTTGGTCATTTCTTCTTTGCATTTTGACTAACTGTGGATATCTGTAATAGTCTCCATCTGTTGCAAAAAGAAAGCTCTTTGATAAGGATTTGGAGATACATTTATCATTGGGTATAAGGGCAAGTATTTAAAATACTGATTTGGGAAAAGGGAAGCAGTAGGTTCTCCTCTAGGGTCTATCACTTCTCTAGCCATGGGTATTTAGCTGGATTTACAATACTGGACATGATTTACCTCCTAATGATGGAGCCTAAATAGACAGCTGTTCGTTACCCCCGAGAAAAGAGTGCCACCACTGCACCCTTGAGGATATCTTGCTGAGCCACTAATAGTTGTAGTTTTTAGGATTTGCTGGTGGGTTTCTTTCCTTTCGTGGCATGTTGCATTGTACTTTCTCATAATATGAGAGCCAGTCTTCAGGGAGGAAACTTCCTGGTCAGCTCCAACATGATTCCTCCAAGTCCTGTGGTCAGAGAATATGGTCTCTTCAGCAATTTCATATTACCCTTGAGTTCTGGTAGGCAATCAAGGACAATAGCAATAGCTTATATTATTTTGGGAGTCTCTTGGACTCCCCTGATCAACAACTCTAAAAGAGGTTTACTTTGCCAGGGACTGGATATTTATTT